AATGTCCATGTCACACCTATGCCGGTAGTTGTTGGGAACACTAAGCTCGAAGTTGTTGATGAGTATGTTTACCTGGGACAAATAGTCCGACTAGGTAAGTCCAACTTCGACCGAGAGGTCAATCGACGGATTCAACTCGGTTGGGCAGCGTTCGGGAAATTACGGCACATCTTCTCGTCAGGTATACCTCAAAACTTGAAAACGAGACTGTACACCCAGTGCGTGTTGCCAGTGATGACATACGGAACTGAGACGTGGTCCTTCACTGCTGGCCGGATGAGGAAGCTCAAGGTCGCTCAGCGAGCTATGGAGAGGGCTATGCTCGGAGTTTCTCTGCGTGATAAACTCAGAAATGAGGATATCCGCAGTAGAACCAGAGTGACCGACATAGCCCAACGGATTAGTAAGCTGAAGTGGCAATGGGCCGGCCATATAGCTCGAAGAACCGACAACCGATGGGGAAGAAAGGTTCTCGAGTGGCAGCCTCGTACCGGCAGGCGAAGTGTAGGGCGTCCCCCCACTAGATGGAGTGACGACCTGGTAAGATTTGCAGGAAGTCGATGGATGCAGGTGGCTCGGGACCGTGCTTTGTGGCATTCTTTGGGGGAGGCCTATGTTCAGCAGTGGACTTGTGAAGGGCTGTAATGATGATGATGATATATAAATTATATATATATATATATATATATATATATATATATATATATATATATATATATATATATTAACACGAAATTTGTTTTATTTTATATTATGTGTAATGAATATGTAGTCACCTATTTCCTCGGTAAATTTCTTAAATGGCAATAGTAAGCACTCCACTAGCGACTCTGTCAACTGAACAGATAAGTTGGTGGCACTATACCAACCTTAACATCAGGCATTGACAGTGACAGTGACGCTAGTCGACATCAACATTGGGGTTACCAGTAAAAGGAATTAAAAATCCCTCAAAAAAAAAAACAAGAAATTTACCAGAGTAATAAATCACTATGGATAAAAATATGGAACTACTTCTACGAAAGCTTGATGAGAAATTGGATAAACAAGCCGAACAGATAACACATGCGGTAACCAAGAACGTCACGGAAGCAATAGACGAGAAAATGAATGCAATAATTGAAGAAAACAAATTCCTCAAAAAGAAAGTATCAGAACTGGAGCTGAAAATTAAATACTTAGAAAGAGAGAAACGAAAAAACAACCTCGTCTTTTTCGGAATAGAAGAAATAGGAAAATCTGAGCGAGAATTAGTGGACTACATAAAAGATACCATAGAAGAGCTAGGAGTGCAAATGAATAGCCAAGAGATCAGCAACGTATATAGAATCGGAATAAAGATTGAAAACAAAAACCGACCAGTAGTAGTTTCCTTTACAACACAATGGAAGAAACATCTTGTACTCAAGAACAAGTTGAATCTCCCATCAAATATATACATAAAAGAGGATTACTCCAAGGAAACTCTGGAAAAGCGTAAACAACTGCAATCCCAAGTGGAAGAAGAAAAAAGGAATGGAAACATTGCCTATTTAAAACATGATAAACTCACAGTGATAAAACCGGAGGACAATAGTAAAGAAAAAAGAAAGAGAGTTCCCTCAGATTCTACCAAACAAGCAACACAGAAAAAAACCAGCATAAGCAATTTAGTCAGAAATACAAACCAATCTCGTACTAAAATACAGAAAAATGATACTAATAGACCAAATTTACTAAATTTTGTAGAAAAAACAAGATCTGATCACCACCTAAATACCTCAAAAAACTAATTAAGGCCCTAGAAAACCGGAAACAAACAGAAACGGCTATAACAAATAGATTGAAGCAAAAACAACAAATAAATTGTCTCCCAGAACGGCTGGTCTCCGCGGGAGCACTAGACCAAAACCCTCCAGCAAAAAGAAATGAAATATTTAACATTGCAAAGCTTACTTGAATTGGACAATGCATTACAAAATATAAAATTTAATATTCTGGGCATATGTGAAATGAGAAGGTCAGATGAGAAAATAACAGAACGAAACGATTACATATTATATCCGAAAGGTGAAACAGCAGGTCAAAGAGGAGTGGACTTCCTAACAAAAAAACATTAAAAAATTATATACAAGAACTGAGAGGCATTTCAGACAGAATAGCAATACTCAACATTAATATGCCAAGTTACAAAAAACCATGGACAATTATACAAGCATATGCACCCACAGAATTATCATTAGAAAGTGAAAGTGAAAAGTTTTACTGCACCCTGTCTGACATTATAAAAAAATACCATAATAACTTCCTTATAGTCATGGGTGACTTTAATGCACAGGTTGGCTACAGAGAATCTGGCGAAGAATTGATAATGGGTAAACATGGATATGGAAAGAGGAGTGCAAACGGGCACCGACTAATTGAATTTCTGCTACAAAATAAGTTAACATTACTCAATTCAGTCTTCAAAAAAAACCCAAAACCAAGTGGACCTGGATATCACCTGATGGCAAATATAAAAACGAAATCGACTTCATAATAACTAATAAGCCAATGTTTTTCCAAGATACACACATTATTCAAAATTTAAATTTTAATACGAACCACCGCATGGTACGCTGCCGTTTAAAAAAGCATCCAACAAAAAGAGGTAGAAATAAAATTATAAATAATTTGACATTAGAACAACACAGAGAAAAAATAGATCCTTCGTTCATCAACACACTGAAAGAAATAGTAAACTCTGACAGAAGTGTCACAGAAAAATACGATTACATGGACAAAGGACTATCAAAATTGCGGAAAGTAAAGGTAACTAAAGATGTGAAGTTTGGTGAGAAGACAATAGAGCTCCTAGAAGAAAGCAAAGCACTAATGACAGACAAATCAAAAACTGAAGAAAGCTGTAACATAATATCTAGACTGAGCAAATAGCTTCGAGAAAATATTAGAAAGGATAGGAAATTAAGAAGAATGAAAAAACTAGAAGATGAAATCCAAAGAACCGGACCAAAAAAAGCTTTCAAGGAATTAAAAGAATATGGAATGGAATGGATACCAAAACTAAAAAGCAACATATCCAAACAAGTAAAAAAAATCGTAGAAGAATCCAGAGCCTTGCCACAGACTACTATCGAACTCTTTACTCAAACAATGACACCGATCGAGAAAATAATGCTACAAACTATCCTAATGCGTGTTATAAAAATGTCCCATCAATACTCTTGCAGGAAGTACAGAAAGCCATCATGTCACAGAAGCTAGAAAAAGCTCCAGGACCTGACAATATAACAAATGAGCTAATCAGAGGCACCGAAGAAAAAATAAGCCCAATCCTAACCAAGCTATTCAATGATATTATAACAACAGGCACCATCTCGAAACAATGGAATGAATCACATATCATTCTCCTACATAAGAAAGGGTATAAAGATGACATCGGTAACTATAGACCAATTAGCCTAATATCAAATGTATACAAGGTATTCGCAAAAGTAATTCTAGAAAGAATAACAAGGGTCTTAGATGAAAACCAACCGATCGAACAGGCAGGATTTAGAAAGAACTACAGTACTATAGACCACATCCACACAATCAAACAAGTCTTGGAAAAATACAATGAATACCAGAAGACATTGTATATCTGCTTTATAGACTATTCCAAAGCATTTGACAGCCTAAAACACAAATTTATCTGGCTGAGTCTAAAAGAACAAGGAGTGGACGATGTCTATATAGAGCTAATCAAGCCCGTCTACAAAAAAAGCAAAAGCAGTATTAAATTAGAGTCAAAAGGAGACCCCTTTTCAATAAACAGAGGCGTGAGACAAGGAGACCCATTATCTCCAAAGCTTTTTAATGCTGTACTGGAACACATATTTAGAAAATTAGACTGGGATGATTATGGTATTATAATCAATGGAAGCCGCCACAATCATTTGAGATTTGCAGATGATATTGTTCTGTTAGAAGAAGATCCTAAGAAACTAGAACATATGGTAAAAGACATAGCAGAAAAAAGCAGAGAAGTAGGTTTAGAAATTAACGCAGATAAAACAAAACTAATGACAAACTCAACAGAAAGCTACATAGAGGTCTACGGAACAAAGTTCGAATATGTGAAAGAATATGTATACCTAGGACAAATTATATCTGCTGAAGACTCCATGTCCAAGGAAATAAACAAAAGAATAGCCTGTGGTTGGAGGAAATACTGGTCCTTGAAAGAAATAATGAAGAACAAAGATCTAGGCATACATATCAAGAGAAAGACTTTCAACACTTGTATTCTCCCCTGCATGACATATGGCTGCGAGACATGGACATTAACGGAAAACATAGAGAAAAACTTGCTAAAACAGAAAGAGCAATGGAAATAAGCATGTTGGGAATCAGGCTTAGTGACAGAATACGAAATGTGGAAATAAGAAGGAAGACAAAAGTAACAGATATAATAACTCATATAGACCATCTAAAATGGAGCTGGACAGGACATATGCTACGTTGCAAAATAAATAAATGGAGCAAACAAGTAACTTTATGATATCCAAGAGGAGACATCAGAAGACAGGGACGTCCGAAAACAAGATGGAGTGACGATATCCGCCTAACTCTAGGACCATACTGGACCAGAGTTGCAGAGGACCGGGCTCAATGGAGAGAGCTGGAGGAGGCCTGTGCCAAGAGGCACGCTGAATTGCGTGATATAATATAAGAAATAAAATTTATAAAATCAAAAATGTTAAACTGCATGTAGTTCGGAATAAAAGGGCTTTATTATTATTATTATTATTATTATAATTGTATTATTTATAATTATTATTGTATATTAATATAGTGTAATTGATGTATAATTACCTACATGGTTCATGGATAGGGGTAAAGAAAAAATACAATTTAAGTTGACCTGAACATTATATAGAATTGCTATGGCGACGACTAACATTTTATACTAAGTATAAAGGTAGTTTTTACTTTGATATTTGGAACTGTCAACATCGATAAATTTCAATAATTTTAAGGTCCGCGTGTGGGACATAAAGCCCGAGACCCAGACCCTGAAGAAGGTGTTAAAGGAGCACAAGAGTCCGGTATCAGCCATCCAGGTGTCGCCCAACGATATGGAGGCCGTCAGCGCCGGTACCGATGGCTCCTGCATTATTTGGGATTTGATGTATGTAATGTGTGTGATTTACCGTGTAGTGGCGGTGTAAGAATATTTACTAAACCATATCATCCCGTGGGTGTCATAAGAGGCAAGAGGGGGAAACATGCGTGGTAGAGCCATGCTGCAGCTATATTAGTAGTATAGTTGTAGCACGAATGGGTCAGCTTGACCGGGGAGGACCACGCCCTCACAGAGTTTTATCGTAAAATAGCAGCTTAACACTGCTGTGTTTCATAAGGTGAGTGTAGCGAACCGGAGACCCATTTTACTGGAAAAGTGGCATTCCATCTTAGTCCTCAGGGGTGACGACGCATCTGCATTTTGATTCTTTATTGAGGATAAATGTAGATGTCTGAGGGTCACAGCAACCACTTATCATCAGGTGGACTGTGTGCTCGTTTGTCACCCTACTCTATAAAAAAAAAACAAATTCAGAAGATGGGCAGCAGCGTTTTTCTAATAACGACTAAAAATAAAGAACCGCTGTTGACAATCCGCTTACCAAGTGTGGCAACTTTGGTAAATATGAGGCAGCTATGGGGAAGTTATGTTCAGCAGTGGACTTTATTAGGCTACACGGTACATAACGGTAACGCATTCTACCACTACTGGTTATTGTAGTTTCTTCATTCCAATGGTAACATTCTCACACTCATAACTGCGTAGACAGTTCACAGTTTCGTAATTTTCTTTTATAATTATTTCAGTTTGTACAGCTCCGTGTGGTAGTGACTTATTATTGAGTTACGGCACTAATATGGTTCGAATCCCGCATGGAGCAAGTATTTGTATTGCGTACAAATAATTATTCGTTCCGGGTCTGGATTGTCCTTGTGCAATCTATGTATGTAAACTGCCTCCACGATACAGTAAAACTTCAACATGGGGGTAAATCTTATTTTAGAAAAAAAAGATCCACGTTCAGCTTCAGATGTGTCTTATCCGTCGCGCTTGGCAGGTGGATAACCGACCGACCGTAGTACCAGCCTCACACCTTTAACGCTGCTCCCTGCCACGGGTCTAGAAATTTTGACTGGTATTCAGAGACAATCTCGAGTTTAAGCTCAATCTCCACAATGACATTATATGAGTCGAGTCGATACCATGCTACAAATTTTGCCATGGGAAATTTAAACATAAATATCGGCCTTTATGTGTGGTACTGCGATGAATTTATGATAGTGCCATCTATCGGAAGACCAAAGATCTTCTGTGCTCTGCGTTACAACCTATGTATTTAAGGAAATAGGGTGTGGAAAATTTTAGAAAATTAAATCGAATTTTTTGGAAATTACATAATTTTGATTCTTAATCGAGGATAGAAGTAGATGTCTATGGGCCAATGGGTCACTTACCATGAGGTGCACTGTCTGCAGTTTGTCACTCTTATTCTATTAAAAAAAATGAGCTGGTGGTACGACGGGAGGCAGGTCACTGTCGCGACGGCAGGTGCTGTACGCGAACACGCTGTTCATGTGCGCGTGCTGGGAGCCGCGCGGCTGCCAGCTGCTGACGGGCGGCAGCGACCGCCGCGTCGCCTACTGGGAGGCCGCCACCGGCAACCTGGCGCGCGAGGTACCACCACCACACTCCTACTACGAGTACTATTACTACCACCACCATCAGTGGTAGTTCCACCGCTACTCATTTCTGAGAGGGTTTGCTCTAGCAAGGAAATGTCCGTCGCACTGCTCCAATGCGTGTTGGCGGACTTCACATGTCTTCGAAATATTTTTTTTTCTTATTTCTCAGACATGCAGGTTTCCTCACAATGTTTTCTTTCACCGCCAAACAAGTGTGAAAACCGAAATAAGGGTTTTATCTGCTGCAAGTTATCTCGCGGCGCACATTCGAAGTAGTTTGACAGACGAGACTTTGGATACTTTATGTTTTCTTCGTAAACATTTTCAACAGAAGTCTTAACATAAAAATTAATTTTTCATTGTTTCAGTTGAATACAATAAATATGCATACTTACAAATTTTTTATTTCTAACATGTTGGTAAAGGTAAACACCTCTTTATCTTTACGCAAAACTCAATAAGCAGCTCAGCTTATGTAGCATTTACCTACCTACATATGCGGGATCCCGCAAATTCCGTGATCGAGCGGGATCGAAAATCATTGACCCCTCAACTATCGAGATTACAAATAACGTGCGGGATTGGATGCCCTAACCACCATTACTTCCACCAACGCTATAACTATCACCATTACCACCACCATTACTACTAACACCATTACCACCACCACTACTACTTCTACCACAACCATTATTACCACCATCAATATCACCACTACGGCCAACACCACCCACTTTTACACTTGAGACATGGTTGGTTTAGTGGTCGTAAACGTGGTTGCTGATCATGAGGTCGTCGAAATAGTTACATATGTACAACTTTAGGTTTTTTTTTATAGGATAGGGTGATAAACGAGCGCACAGTCCACCTGATGGTAAGTGGTTGCTGTGACCCGTAGACATCTACATTTATCCTCAATAAAGAATCAAAATGCAGATGCGTCGTCACCCCTGAGGACTAAGATGGAATGCCCCTTTTCCAGTAAAATGGGTCTCCGGTTCGCTACACTCACCTTATGAAACACAGCAGTGTTAAGCTGCTATTTTACGCTGGTATTCTGTGAGAGCGTGGTCCTTCCCCGGCCGAGCCGACCATTCCTGCTACAACTATATTACTAATATAGTTACAGCATGGCTCTACCACGTAAAAAATGTACAACTTTAGGTACCTCTTATTTTGCCACAATTAGGCTAGAAATTGGTCAACTCTGAATACAACCCATTTAATAAAAAGAATCATAAAAATCGGTTCACAATTGACATAACATATAATATTATTTTAACTTATTTTTAATTACTAGCTTAATAAAGCATGTTACTATCAACAGCTAGAAGCAAGTAAAGTCGGCGCTATCAACGGTTTGCATATCACACAAGATGGAGAATTATTTGTCACTGGTGGCAACGATCAAATGGTCAAAGTGCGTATGAGTTTTTTTTATTATATTACGGTGCGTACACATTATATAACATAACATGTTAAAAACGTTGTTTCAGTAATGTGGGGGCTGAATGTTATAAAACGAATGTTATATAACTCGAGATGCGACGGAGGCGTCGCGCGGGGCAACGACAAACGACAATGTCATATAACATTTTTATATTGTTTTGTTACTCTAATGTGTACAGTATTGTTATTTGTTGCGATGTTGAAAACTATGTTACATAATGTGGACGTGTTATAAAACAAAAGTTAACTACACGTTACTTGATCTGTACGCATCCTTATATAACCACGTAACGGCAGAACGATATACGACAATGTCATATAACATTGTTATATTGCATTGTTATTCTAATGTGTACAGTATTGTTATATGTTGCAATGTTGAAAAACAATGATACATAATGTGGAAGTGTTATAAAACAAAAGTTACACAACATTTTACTTAATCTGTACGCACCCTTAATAATTTAATTAAATGTTTACATCTATATCTATACTAATAAATCTCTATATACAGTGTGCCCCTTGGTAAAGTGCAACCCTGAAAAGGGGTGAAACTAGACCATAAATTATCGACAAAAATAGACAAAAAATAAAAAATATGTCGGAGCGTCTATAAAATACCCGGTTGGATCGAGGTGGAATGGAGGGTATATCAAGAAACCCCCTCTTGTGTCTGTAGTATAAAGTTCACTGTATGTGCCGTGCGCGAGAGATTCCGCTTAAGTCATTCAGCGAGTGTGGTCATTCTCCTTAGTGCCAAGATAGTGTTGTGGTTCTGTTCGTTGTTCTAATTCTTCTAGTACATTGAGATAGTAGTGTTGCTGTTGGTTTACATATTTTGGTGTTATCATGTAATTACGTACCTCACGTTACACTGGTGTGTGATTGTGGCGGATACGTGTTACGGTGTGGTCGAACTGTAATTTCACTATACTGAATGTATAGTGCGTTACGTTGTCTTATTACCGATAATGATTTATTGCGTAAGCACGAGAGCAAGTTGAACATCCGCTCTCACACTTTTATTATTTTTAACAATTAACGCTATCCTGATGTATTTCCGAGATCAAAATTGGGATCTTCTATTGTAATTCTCCGACAAATATATATATATATATTACTTTTTATTGACGAAATCTAATTTTTATATCTTATGTAGATTCTATGTACAAAAAATAACGATTTCTTCCAAAGTAGTTGGTCGATTACTTAAAAATAAAAAAATAAAATATTTTATCCTTACCGCCAAGTACGTGGCATAATAATTGTTGTCGTGCAGAACCTGCTTGACGTGCTGAAGCTCGGCGGCCAGGTGTTTGCTGTCAGGTTCTGCACGACCACAAGCTTCGGGTTCCGCGCCTACGTCACAGTAGCCGAGTAAAGTCGGCCACAGTCGAGCGTGTGCCTACTGTACTACCATATGTCAGAGGTATCACAGACAAGATTGGCTACATCTTGAAGCGAGCTTCTCTTAGAACATTATTCAAGCCGTCGAAGAAGATTAGTCAGTTCTTACCATCCGTCAAGTGCAATATTCCTCTACAAGATGCAGGAGTGTACAAGCTTGATTGTGAATGTGGTCTCTCATATATAGGGCAAACAAAGTGATCTATCAAAACCCGCGTAAAAGAACACATAGCTGACGTGAAACATCAACGTTCCGGAAAGTCTGCAGTTTGTGATCATATCCTAGACGGCCACCGCCATTACATTAGATTTGATAAACCACAAATTCTCGCGAAAGAACATCGATTCCTGCCAAGGATGATACGTGAGGCTATCCAAATTAAATTTTTTTTTAATAAATTTTTTATAAATTACTGCCACCTGCTTGGGATCCTGTAATTAATAAAATTAAAACTAAACTCAAGCATACCACTACAAGACTTTAAGACACAGTAAGTTCATTCTTCGTAGATCGGACCAAAATTAATAATTAAAAAAGCTGAAGGTACTCCGGGTTAACTTTGAGATCAGGACGTCAATCACCTCAGTCCCCCATGACCATGGGTGCGTTAAAGTACCCGAAATGTCGGGAATCAATGGAAACAAGTTTTAAACGCGATAGAATCCGTAAAAGTAGTGTTGCGCGCCACTATTAATGTCTTGTACATGGCAACACTAGTTACACTAGCGCCCTCTAGTGTCGAATAAAATAAAGTGTTGCGCGCCACTATTAATGTATTGTAAATGGCAACACTAGTTACACTAGCGCCCTCTAGTGTCAAGTAGCAGAACTAGGAGAGTCGAGATCCTTCCAGAAATTTCGGGACCGATATGCGCTCGAACATTCTAGATGCCGCTACAGTGGAAGGTTCTGGAAACTGTCTGAGGCCCTATATAAAGCCGGTATAGACCACGACCAGGGCAGTATTGAATTGGCAATACAAGAGAATACTTCGAAGCGAAATAACTGCGAACTAAAGTGATTGTGTTTTATTATTAGTGTGATTTAGTTAGAGTTAGATTGTAATTAGTGCTCTGTAATTAAAGTGTCAATTTTGGTAATTCAATCGGCACTTTTTAATTGTCTCGAACCCCAAGCTCGTAACAGTAGTTTTAGTATTTTTATTCAACAATTGTAGTACCTTACGTGAGCACTTTGGACGCTACTCTCTGACGCCGGTCTAGTAGGTAATTTACCTCTGACGTAAAGAGACGGTTATCTATAAATGTGTACCACCATTGGAAAGCCTTTGACCTGTTTCATAATCGCCACTTAATACAAACACAGGATGAAAAATAGGAAGATATATTCTCATCCAGACCCGTAACAATATTATTTCGTCATTTAGACAGTGCGGTGGACTCTTTCTTGCTGTAAAAGGCCTAAGCCTATATACAATATGTAACAAAAACCCTGTGGTTCTCGTTAAGTAAGTACGTTATCAAAATCAGTATTCAAACTATGAAATAACTTTACTTCAGAAATCTCGACTATTAAAAAATCTAATTAATAAAAAAATAATTTTTATTTGCAAATTGTATTTTCTTATAGGATAGACTAACAAACGACCACCACAGTCCACTGTCGCTCAGCATTCTTTTTACGTGACGGGACGTGTACAATTTTAACCTGTTTTATTTATTCTTTTCAATCCCCTTATCAAATATTTTAAGCGGAATACCTGAGATACCGATGTAAGGGTAAAATGTACTAAAATAAAATAGGTACCTACCAGCACAAGTTTTTGTTTCCATCACGAGGAATCAGGTGAAGCTGCGGAACGCAACTAGATTTGTAAAGTAGTAATTAGTTTGTATCTTTGTAAAGAAAAATAAATTATTAAGAGGAATACTGATAAAATATAATGTTATGATATTATTATTTAAGGAAATGTTTTTGTGACAACCCTTGCATATTTTTAGCGACTTGACGTCAAGACGAGCGGTATAACAAAGGAGTTGGCCCACTGTTAGTATTTATTACACACTAGCTGTTCCCCGCGACTTCGCCGGCGTGTTATTTGGGGTTTCAATTTTTTTAGCGCGGAACCCTAAACATTTTCTTTTTCTAAAATAAAAGTAGCCTAAGTTACTCCTTGTGACATCAGCTATATGCCAGTGAAAATCAATCCAAATCGGTCCAGCCGTTTCGGAGATTAGCCGGAACAAACAGACAAACAGACAAACAAAAACTTTAAAAATTGTATTTTTGTTATTAGTACCGTATATACTTTCAATGCTGTAATTTTGACATTACAAACAGACACTTGAATTTTATTTATTTGTATAGATATGGTATTTTAGGAGACCACGCTTTACCGACACGTGTCAGTTAGTTCAGATGTGAATAACATTTTTTCACAAAAAATTCACATTTAATATATGTACATCTATCCGAAAAGGATCACCGGGTTGTTTGTTACATACTGTATATCAGCCGCACCGTCCACTTACTATCAGGTGGACTTTGTGCTCATTTGACTCGTACAAATGACACGTTTGATTGGGCAGCTATGGAAGTACCAGGAGGGTATCTACACACACGCGGGACTGGGGCACGCCGGCGCCGTTACGTGTTGCCGCTTCAGCCCCGACGCGCGACATATCGTCAGTACCTGTGCCGCCGGGGGTATAGTCGTTTGGAAGGTACCCGAGGTGAGATTTACCCGCCTTTATCAGACACGCTTTTATTATTTATTTTCTTATTATTTTATTTTCTATGCGCACATAACCATAATACATATAATTGTAGTTTTTTTTTCTTTTTTCTATTAATGAATAAATAGGCTTTATTATTATTATTATGGGGGTTATCTATAAAGTTTTCTCATCTGGTTGGGCTGTTTAAATATATAATTGTAAACGAAATATATAAACATACATAAATATCAATAAAATGGAATAAATACATAAAAAATACATAAATATATAAAAAAAAACCAACCAGATGGAAGCCCTCGGCAGGGGAGACCAAACGGCTGAGGGTTAGGGGGAAAGGGAAAGAAACCAGCGGACGATGCGGGCGGTATCGAGGAGCACCGCCTTCTGCATTTGAGCTTGGAGCGATTAATTATTATTAAGGGTTAACAAACGAGCACACAGTCCACTTGATGGTAAGTGGATACTGTGGCCAATAGACATCTACATTTAGGCCGGCCATATACATAATATACGGAATATCGTTTCGGGATTCCGTTTCGGAATTTCGATTCGGGATTCCGTGAATACATCACACACATACTTTTTTCCGTTCGGAATAACGAGGGTCAGTTGAGAGACGTTAGCCATTGAGTCTAGACATTCTGCCAGCGAATAATGACGACGATTTTCTAATTGCGATTCCATTGTTGCTGTATAATTCTTACTAGGTGCATCCCCTTATCACCCTAAGCCTGCAATATAGTCAATATTATGTAAAGAGATCTATCTATCCAGAGACATTTTTAAAATATGGATGTCTCTAAACTCTTTCGACGAATTATTAAATAAAATAAGATGAAAGGTTATGAAAAGCTATAGATACACAAATAAGATTAAATGTAAAAACATACATAAACACACCTACTCGCTTCGGTCGTGCGAAAAACACATGTACTCTGTGACAAACACTGAGCGCGTTCCTTACGAAATTTACGAATGTGTGTTGTGACTTGTGAGTCATACAAAATCTATGGAAGACTTGCGTTCGGAGCGGCTTGTTACCTTTCGGGATTCCGAACGTACAGGTCATACGGAATCTCGAATCTTAATATTTCGAATATTTTTATTATATGATGCAACTAAAAATTTATTTTTTTCGCAATATTTCCTTTATCTGTGCTATAATACGTTGCTTCGTACCAAATTTTAAGATTCTGAGTTAACGGGAAGTACTCTGTAGGTTTTGATTCCGTTGCGAATGTCGAAAATTTGCGGCATAAACGGCTGTATCTTTTGATTGCGTTGGCTTAGAAGTTTGATTTTTTCACAGCTCCAAGGGACCGTAGACTTGAGTATTTTATGCGAAGCAACGTCTTATAGCACAGATAAAGAAAAAATTGCGAGAAGCATAAATTATTAGTTACGTCATATATAATAAAAATATTTTTAATAATTTTAAACTTACTATCGCTTTCCTCATAAACACGTAGTTGTATTATTATTTATTATATTGAAATTCATATGAAATTTGTACGGAACCCTCGGTGCGCGAGTCCGACTCGCACTTGACCGATTTATTTTTATTTTTATAGGAAGTTTAAATCTCATATCTTGTACATATTATAGTTTTCGATCTCAAGGATGATGATAATAATGGATGACATAAAGAGGTATCGGGGGGCGTCGCCAGAGAGGGAACAGTCTCGCAGGTTTGCACGCTTACTCGTGCCGCTTGTGGAGTTTATATACCTAGTTAAAAATCTTACAAAGTCCTTTGATTGAGATTTGGACTTTATACTATTAGGTCAACCACACTCCACAGTTCCAATGGTAACCAATCATAGCGCCGGGGGCTCACACTTTGTATCCGTCCTTGTTGCCTATATTATTCATTGACCAGGCAGTCACTTGAATGCCACATCGTATTTTTTTTTTAGTATAGTTAATAGAATCATGCGTTACTTTGCGGAAGTCCATTATATTAAAGTTGGTAAAAAATTACTTCGCGTACATCCACTCGATAAAATAGGAGGGCGGGAGGTGCTCTTCAAAATAGATAAGTCACATCATTTTATTTTATCGAGCGGATGTAGGTACGCGAAGTAATTTTTTACCAACTTTTTTTTTTGAGTATTTAAATTTACTTTGGTCACTTCCGGTTAAGCCTTAGTAGTAGGGAGCTCCGTGAATTTTTTCATTATTTTAAGATTTCGATAAAACTTTCTATGTTCATATTTCTTCACTACGATCTCGGTGTGCAGAGCAATTAAGTATATCTTTTTTTTTATAGGATAGGGTGACAAACGAGCACACAGTCCACCTGATGGTAAGTGGTTACTGTGACCCATAGACATCTACACCTATCCTCAATAAAGACTCAAGATGCAGATGCGTCGTCATCCGTGCGAACTAAGATGGAATGCCTCTTTTCCAGTAAAATGGGTCTCCGGTTCTCTACACTCACCATACGAAACACAGCAGTGTCAAGCTGCTATATATACGCTGGTATTCTGTGAGAGCGTGGTCCTTCCCCAGTCGAGCCGACCCATTCGTGCTACAACTATACTACTAATACAGCTGCAGCATGGCTCTACCACGTAAAAAACCAGGTAATTAAGTATATCTTCGAAACGATTTACATAATATTAATCGAACTTCACATAAGAAGTTCGTTTGATCATCATTTGTCCAAAACTAATGCCTAAAGTTATATTTATCATTTATTCAGCAATATATTCAAAAAGAGAAACCGCCATCAGCCGTCCGGAAAGTTGTGGAGTCCCCAAAGTCCTTGAAACAACAGCTGCATCTACCCCTGGAGGAGAAAACGTTGCATGAGCGTCAGCACAAACTCCCCGCCGCCCCGTCTAAGGTAAACAATTAAACGGGGAGCATGTTTTACTCGTATTGCATGACGGTCGCCCGCTACTTAAGTTTAGTAAACTATTAACTAATCTGTGACTTAAGTGAGGAGCGGTTGCGTCAGCGAGTTGTATAAATAGCAGCTGTGTTGGCTCGCTCGCCGCTCATTTAACCGTCAGGACCGTCAGCCACCGAAGTCTTCTTCAGCTGATGATGCTTCGTTTAGAGCATGGAGTGTAGAGTAGAAAGAGAACCATCTTATAAGGTGCGTAAGTTAAAAAAGTGTCCCACTATATACTGAAAATAGAGGTTCTAAAACCTATCACAATAGCGCTGGCGTCTGAAAAAACGATATGAATATAGCTGTTGTAGACGAAGTGAAGTCAGCTGAATTCAAATATTTAAAAAATTTCATGACTAGAGTAGTTAGTAAAATGCCAGTGTACAAAACCTCAACTACGAGTATTTACGTAGTGCAAAGCCAAGCGGATTGGTCGGTCCTTGTTTATTTCTCCATCTTATTTAAATTAATTTTGGCGCCATAGAACTATGTTTGGCGCTTTTTTTAAATTTATCTTATGCTACTGCAGCGCCACCCTTATTGGACGCGTTTTTAGGGACACTTTTCATATACAGAGATGGTCCTCCTTCTACGATACACTCCACTCCATAGTTCAGAGGCAAATCACGTGTCGTATTGTCGATGGTGATGTGTCTTTCCTAGTGTAGTAGCTACGGGTATAGTGTACGCAATTGAGGCAGGGCGGGAGAGGGGTGTTCTTCAAAGTAAATATAACACATCATTTTATTTTACTGCACGGATCTCAGCTAAGTAAATTTTAACATCTCTAATTAAACCACCACTTCTAAGTTCAAAGTATTGACCATAGATAAATTTTTTTTTTATAAGTTAAGGTTGACAAACGAGCACACAGTCCACCGGATGATAAGTGGTTGCTGCAGCCCATAGATATCTACATCTATCCTCGTTTGCGAATCAAAATGCAGATGCGTTGTCACCCGTGAGGACTAAGATGAAATGCCTCATTTCCAGTAAAAAGGGCCTCCGGCCACCTGCACTCATCAAGCGAAATGCAGAGGTAAACCTCTACTTCACGCTGGTATTCTGTGAGGTCGTGGTACCACCCCGGTTCGAGCCGGCCCATCCGTGCGACAACAAAAGCTGCCGCGTGGCTCTACCACTGTTAATATACTATACTACAATAATAGACTATATAGGGTAGTATTAACTGTTACTTAGCGCAGTAGCTAAGCTATTTTGCAGTACTGCGAGCCGCGGGTTCGTTTAACAGTTGCCATACAACAGGAATGGTATGGGCTGTGAACTCGAGCACTGTAATCCTGTCCTGCGAAGATGGTTAGTCTCCGTTGAGACTGGCCGTCGTGAACGAAATTCGGTCTGGAGGATATTAAAGGGAAAATTACTGTTTGTCTCTCGTTTTAAAGAACGAGATTTCTCTTGCATATGTTCAGGTGGAGAAAATAGAAGCTATGAACACTTCACGCAGCAGTGTCCATTCCTGCTGTCCGTGCGACCTCACAGTCCGATCCAAAGACTCGAAGAAGAGCACACCAAAATCAGGATCCGTAAAATGCTGTAGACCACCAGGTATTTATCTATCAGAAGTTTCTTTTATAAAATCTATTTAAGACTAGCAAGCCTAGCCTAGGAAGACTTGTTTAATTTTTATATACTTGCTTTTTTCTGCTTGGTTCATTCTATATATACATGTTGGGATGGTCTGAAAAGCAGCATCTAATGCCGAGACCTTAAACCTTTCGTTTTTTTTATAGGATAAGGGTGACAAACGAGCACACAGTTCACCTGATGGTAAGTGGTTGCTGCGGCCCATAGACATCTACATCTAATCCTCTATTACAAATCAAAATGTAGATGCGTTGTCACCCGTGAGGACTAAGATGGAATGCCTCATTTCCAGTAAAAAGGGCCTCCGGCCACCTGCACTCACCAAGCGAAACACAGAGGTAAACCTCTACTTCACGCTGGTTTTTAACGTTCTCTGTTACATAATATTATATTACCGAGTAGGGCGGTGTTAGAATATCCATTAGCATTATCGTTAAGTGGCGACCCTCTGACGATATCAGCTAAGTCGTAAGAGGCGAGAGAGGGAAATTGAAACCGGATATGGACAGCAGTGTCATACTAATAGCTAACCCGCCAGCCGACCAAACAAAAAACAACCAAATTTTTGGCAAATATGCTCATATGAGGCGATGTATGGTGTAGGCCTTTGTTCAGCAGCGAACTTTTTTTTTATAGTATAGTGTGACAAACGAGCACACAGTCCACCTGATGGTAAGAGATTGCTGTGGCCCATAGACATCTACATTTATCCTCGTTTGCGAATCAAAATGCAGATGCGTTGCCACCCGTGATGACTAAGATGGAATGCCTCGTTTCCAGTAAAAAGGGTCTCCGGTTCTCTACACTCACCATACGAAACACAGCAGTGTTGAGCTGCTATTTGACGCTGGTACTCTTTGAGAGCGTAGTCCTTCCCCGGTCGAGCCGACCCATTCGTGCTACAACTATACTATTAATATAGCTGCAGCATGGCTCTACCAAGTACAAAAACTAGCGTAGTAAATAAATGCCTTATTTGTTCGTAAAAAGCCATTTTTATCACCATTTACAAAATAAGGTAAATTATCATATTACGTCAAATGTCGTCAATCCTGTAATCCTCTTGGATTGACGTCCTCTTGATTGAGAGGGGATAGGCAGAGTCCAAATATCAGCGAGCTACTCGGACTACAATTTGTCTAAAAATATGGGATTATATGGAAAATTGTAAAAGAAGTGATAGGCGGCTAGCCCATCGCCTCCCACAAGCACTAACCCAATATCCTATTAGTCGCCTATCCGTAATGCTAGGTAATTAACGCATTTAGCATTTTCTTTTTTGTTATAAGTCCCATGGACTTATATATTTTTACGTGGTAGAGCCATGCTGTAGCTATATTATGGTTGAAGCACCAATAGGTCGGCTCGACCGGGGAAGGACTACGCTCTCACAGAATGCCAGCGTAAAATAGCAGCTCAGTGCTGCTGTGTTTTTCGTAACAGGTAGAGACCCTTTTTACTAGAAACGAGGCCATTACATTTTAGTACTCAGGGTCGGCAACGCAACTGCATTTTTTTAAATGGAATAAGTTTGACAAACGAGCACACAGGCCACCTGATGGTAAGTGGATGCTGTGGCCCATAAACATAGCTACATTAACACTCAATTAAGAATCAAAATGCAGATGCGTTGCCACAATTGACCAATACGATGGAATGTCTCGTTTCCAGTAAAAAAGGTCTCCCGTTTTCTACACTCACCATACAACACACAGCAGTGTCAAGCTGCCATTTTACGCTGGTATTCTGTGAGAGCGTGGTCCTACCCCGGTCCACGTATAGAATTTTGATTCATAATCGAGGATAAATATATATTTCCATGGGCCACAGCATCCACTTGCCATCAGGAGGACTCTGTGCTCGTTTGTCACCCTTATTCCATATAAAAAAAGTACCAGACTAACATGGGCAAATATTACGTGACAGTCGCCACGATATTGGCATATTTTTTGTTGGTTTTTAATTACTATACATTGTAGATAATCTACCTACGAGGACTACAAGTAAAGACTACATAAGTGGCAGTGGAGATAGAAAATGACACTAGAACAAAGACGTTCCCTATACATTTATATCTTAATAAATATTTAAAAAACATTGTTTTCCTTTTATTTTTATCCAACTGTCTCAGCTCAGAAGTATATTATATCTGCATGTGCGTTTATGACATGTAACCTAAACATTTGTAAACTAAGAGCAACATTACTTTACCCATCTCATCGTAACACAGAGCAGTCTCTCAGCAACACCATCTTCTTTGCCTACTCTGGAAGAATTACTACAAGGTGCAGAACCACGATACTGTCATTAGCACTTGTAGAATGATTTAGACGGAATCTCTCGCGCAAGGAGCCTACAGTGAATTTTATAGTGCACAAACCAGCGGGGGTTTCCCGATCTATCCTCAATTCCACCTCGCCATTACGATATGACGCTCACTCTAGATTCATCCTGTATTTTATAGACGCTCCGTCAAACTCTTTATATTACGCAAGCATAACTAAAATGGGCTCCTTTGTTTTTTAATAATAGGTACTTTGTTAAATTTACGCGCGACCTGCTTATTAACTTGTAACATAGACATTGTTTTAGATTGAAATGCGAAAACTCTACGAAACTATTTATATGAAGCTTACGGATAGGTACTTATTCAGCATACATATTGTGTTTTACATCTTTTTCATCTTAGGTGAAGCACAACCTAACATATAGTGTATAATCTTAAAGATAATATATATGATTCCATAATACATTTTAACCAGATCCATTGATAATTGAATATTTTTGTTTAAATAATGTAATTATTCTGGTTTTTTTTTATAGGATAGGGTGACAAACGAGCACACAGTCCACCTGATGGTAAGTGGTTACTGTGACCCATAGACATCTACATCTATGCTCAATAAAGACTCAAGATCCAGAAGCGTTGTCACCCGTAAGATGGAATGCTTCTTTGCCAGTAAAAGGGTCTCCGGTTCTCTACACTCACATTACGAAACAGCAGCCTTGAGCTGCTATTTTACGCTGGTTTTCTGTGAGAGCCATTCGTGCTACAACTATACTACTAATATAGCTGCAGCATGGTTCTACCACGTAAAAAATTTTTTTCTGTGCAATAAATAAAAAACAATTATGTTCCAGTCAACTTTCTCCGTTTATCTTAGGAAATTATCATGTTTAATCGTAAATGTTTTTTTTAGATAACAAAATATATTACAAGATTAAGTATCCTATCCCTATATTACTTATCCTTACAAAGTCATTTAAATGCAAAATTATAATACATTTCATAATTTAGGTTTTCCTTACAATAAAAGCACAGGCAACACTGAGATCACACTATAACCATCTGCAGTCCTTTCTTTGGTAGCACTGTTAGTAGCAATCAGCCCCAAGCTTGGCTCTTGCAGTAATGTAGTACCAGTTTACCGTCAGTACCAAAACACTCGTATAGATTCCTGATTATTTGATCAGGTGATGGTGCAAACGTCTGGTTCACATACATAAACTGAAATGAAAGAGTTAAACAATTATACTTTAATTATAATTATATCTTACAGTTAGTATTTGACATCGATCGCAGAAGGTTTTTCTTAAAGAAATCTATAACATTATGAAATAAGAGAACAACAGTGGTAGAGCCACGCGGCAGCTGTTGCTGTCGCACGGATGGGCCGGCTCGAACCGGGGTGGTACCACGACCTCACAGAAAACCAGCGTGAAGTAGAGGTGTACCTCTGCGTTTCGCTTGGTGAGTGCAGGTGGCCGGAGGCCCTTTTTACTGGAAATGAGGCATTCCATCTTAGTCCTCACGGGTGACAACGCATCTACATTTTGATATGTAATAGAGGATAGATGTAGATGTCTATGGGCCGCAGCAACCACTTACCATCAGGTGGACTGTGTGCTCGTTTGTCACCCTTATCCTATATAAAAAAAAAGAGTGTGTGTTGCAAGTGATGATTTATGAAACTGAAATCTAGACCTTCACTGGTGGCCATAATATGAGAAAGCTCAAAGTTACTCAGCAACCAGTTAAAGAAAGGAAGAAAGAGCCATGTTAGGAATTTCTCTGCATGATAAAATCACTAACAAGGATATTCCGGAATATTTTTTCGCAGATTTCATCTAATTTTTAACATCTTTTTTATAATGGATTTCCACAAAGTAACACTTGATTCTATTAATTGAGTGGTAATGTAATGATGTTTAAGTGGCAATACTTTTATAAATACATATTAAAAATCACTATTCATTTGCAAAAATTTCTGTCCATAATACCTAAAAATACAATCTACATTGACGATTTTGAAAATTTTCAAAACATGCCTATTATCGCTTAGAGACATGGATTTTTTTCTTACTTTTACCAAAACAGTTCGGAAAAACGTGTATAATAGGGCTATTATATGATAATTTAAATTCGCAGCTTTTTATCATTGTAAATATATACAAGTTGTCCTAGAACGTAACGATCAAACAAAAGGGGGTTGTAGACCATGGAAGGACTGTTCCAAAAAAAAAATTAAGTCCTATACCCAAGTTGCGTGGTTTAAAAGATAAAGGGTGATTTATAAATTTTCCAGAAAATCATCCTCTGCATCAATATTTTTGATGCTGCAGTTGCAAATGAAGACCGATTTAAATTTTTTTTCTGTTTTGTATAGCAAGTTTTATCAGCAGCAAGTTGGACCCTTCACCCTGTAAAAAAATTTACCCACATGGACCTGGCAACTGTATTCAAAAGTTGGCGCAGTTCATGTAGATTTTAAAATGGTATAATACCTGGTACTTTTATTTCAATTTTTTTGTACAATAATTTTTTCTCTCGCAGAGGGTAGATTTTGTGAAAATAACTCAATTAGATATTTTTTTAAATGATTCATCCGTACGGTTAATGTAAAGAAAAATAATTTGTTTTCACGCTGATTTGGCCGATTTCAGACCTAATATCCATTGAAAACTAAAAAGTAGTTCATTTTTTAGAGAAAAAAATTATAGCACAAAAAAATTGAAATAAAAGTACCAGGTATTATTACCATTTTGAAATCTACATGAATTGCGCCAACTTTTGAATACAGTTGCCAGGTCCACGTGGGCACATTTCTTTTAAAATTAAAATTATTTCATTTTCCATAGTTGTCTCTTACGAAACCCATGAGATGAAATGGGGTGATGGATTTTCTTGCTTTGCTGCCATTATTGCAGCTTTAGTTTAATTGTTATTAACATTTGTCATGTTAATGACAATTAAACTAGTCTTAAGCGTCTCCCACACACAAGCGGCTTGCGGTGGCGGCTTACCGCGGGCCGCGGATGCAGCTGCTGTAACAACACACCACCGCGGCCCAAATGGCGGCCTGAAGCGCCATTCGCTGTGGTGTCTGTGCTACGATCGGACGTCAGTAAACATGACAAACGGTGACGAAGTCTTATTATATTCAGCAATATTATCATATATTTTGTTTTTATTACTAATGCTTTTGTGATCACGATGCGAATTATTATAAAGTACTGGATACTTTTGCACTGTTAATTGTTAATATCTCTGAATTTAGCACCATTTTTCACGCGGTACACGCGGCCAGTTGTAAAAATTTACAATTGACCGCGCTGCGGCCATTGACTGACCGCGTACTCGCTAAACACACACGTGTTGGCAAATGGGGCGGAGCATGCGGCCGCGGCCAGCCGCTGGCAGGCCGCGGCCAGCCGCTGGCAGGCCGCGCGATGGCCGCACGAGTTTACAGACTCACTTACATTGCAAGCGAATACAACTGGCCGCCACCGCGGCCGCTACCGCAAGCCGCATCTGTGTGGGAGACGCTTTATTTGAATATGGTGTTTAGGAAAATGTAGTGGCAGAGTTAAAGAATAAATGGGGTGACCATTTTGATAACTGTAGAACCTTCTGGTATAGCTAGATATAAAATTCCCAGAACACCAACAATGTAAGATGTCTGATCCTTGTATTCTGACACTGTGATTCTTATATTAATGTAATTACTACACAATTATTATCAAATTTAATTAAGGTAATTTTAAATTTATAATAAAAAGCCCAGTAACATCTATAAAAATTAGTTGTAACTTAGGTAAGTTAACTATAAACAATATAAATACTTTACCAATTTCTCCTCAGGTTCAAGTTTAAGATATTTTTTCACAAATTCCATGACCCAACCAATTGGTTTTTCTGCATCTACTGCCCATTTCTTCTTTTTCATTATCGGGGCATCCCCTGTTGCTTTCAGTAATATATCCACTGTAGATTAAAAAATAAATAAAAAAAAAGTAAACAATATGCATTGGATTAAGTAATTTGCAATCATAAGATGCCTTGGTGAAGCAGTGGCTATGTGTGTCAATGTGTGACGGCTGAGGTGCTGCAGGCCACTAGTTTGAATCTCAAACATTTTATTGTCTAAGAATAATTTTTATAGATCTTTGCATGCAATATATGTATGTAAAACGCCTTCATAATACAGGAGAAAGTTCTAAATTATTGAATGCGGATTATAGCAACAAAACTCTAATAATACAACAGTAATTTTTTCTTCTGCCATGTAGTGATGTTATAAGATGGTTGCCAAACCGTTTGTCGAGAATGGCAAATATCCCCCCGCTCTCCCCCCCCCCCCCTACATAAAGAAATCTTTGACAAACTGTAATGAATTTGTAGATAATACACAAGGAGTTTACCGTAATATAACAGGATAAGGCTAATGCCTGCACCAGAAAAACCACCACTACGGTCAGAACTACAACACTATCTTAGCACTTGTAGAATGACTTCACTCCTAGAATGACTTAAGCAGAATCTCCTACGCTCTGCACCTACACCGAATTCTATACTGCAGAGACTAGTGGGAGTTTCTCGATATACTCTCAATTCTACCCCACCACCTTTGATAAATGCTCTGCTAAAGTTACACAACCTCTTGCACACTCTATTCAACCCGCGCTTCATATATGCACCGAAAATTCAATTAATTAATTTTGCTTTTACTTTTTTCTTATTAAACTATTTTCTTTCAGCTGAAAAATTACTTTTGTGGTAATTTAGATTTAGAATAATACATTTATTAAGTATAGAGTGGCAAGTAAATTATTTAATGTAGAACCTTAGATAGGTAGATAGTCATTGCCTGTTTAGGTCTTTTGTTTTAATACTAGCTGTTCCTCGTGACTTCACCCATGTGTAATTTTTAATTTTTTTGCAAGGAACCCTAATTCCTTTTCTAAAATAAAAGTAGCCTAAGTTACTCCTTATGACATTAGCTATCTACCAGTCCCGTCAAAATCGATCCAGCTGTTTCGGAGATTAGTCGGAACAAAGAGACAGACATAAAATTTTTAAATTGTATTTTTGTTATAAGTACCATATATACTTTCATATATGCATTGAGTAAAAAGCTGTAATTTTGACATTACAAACAGACACTTGAAGTTTATTTATTTGTATAGATATTTAATATTTAAAGACATAAGTTGATCAAAAGCAATGATATCCTTGCACTAAGCACTTCTTAATGTCAACAGACCTACAGGATGAGATGGGTGGGATGGGGCATTTTAACATGCACATATGGAAGCACTACACACAATATATTTTATGAAATAATGCTATTATATTACTCTGAGAACTATTTATTCATGTATAAATAAGAGAGGATATCATTAGCCCGTAAAGTTGTTTACAGATAGACATGGGCCTCTCCTGCAGTTGACAGATTTTGTACTATTAGCCTCGTATGGCAAGACGACTGGTTATGATCGATATAAAAACTATTTTACCTTTATTTTTATCAGATTTTGCAGATTCAAGGTTTTCTTTTTGTTCTTCACTTTTTAAGTTTTCTGTGGCGCAAGACAATTCTGCCTGCGATAACTCATCAGTCTGTTTTTCATCAGCCATTTGAAGATCAAATTCACACTTGAAAATTGTGAGTAGTAGTTTGATAAAACGAAGATAAAAATAAATCACTTCCTGTGAAACCACTAATAATAATTTAAATTATTTTAAAATACTACTATGTCTATGATAATTAAGTTTCTAGTTTTTTTTTTTTTTTGTTTACAATATATTCATTACTTATGTTCCTGCTAGTTTATGACATAGATAAATATATAATTATGTAGCAAGCTAGTTTATGATATAAAATAATAATATAATTTTTCACTCATATATGTACATAGTTTCTGATTATTCCAGATTATTCAATAAACGTAGTGATTATATTCTCTTTGATCAAAGAGTATAGTAATATATAAGGAAGTCTTTAATTCAAAGTACTCTGTGGTACATAGGTTACCTATTTTTTATTTACGCAGCCAGCGTTTTTTTTAAACTGGCTTTACGGCTCTGGGTTCTAGCTCTACTGAGATAGCCAGCGTTCTTGACGCGATACCGCGGGGAATAGGAGTATATGATAATTAAGTTATTGTTTTAGTTTTTTTCATTATTATTATAGTTTTTAATATTGTATATGATAAAAACTTTGACTTAGATGAAATTAATATATTGCTGTTTTATTTATTTTTCAGATTGTATTGTGCAAAGAGTAGGTATAGTGTATAGTCACAGACTAACTAGTACTAGGAGTGGGCGATACAAAGCGTATATAGTTATTGAATCTGTATATTGATTCAATATCGTATATCCGATATCGGCCTTACCAAAAACTATATATCGGACAAAACACTATATTGCTTGTGCCCGACAGCCGATCACAATTTGCGACGATATTGTATCGCAGTGGTATCGAAATCCGTCGAGGCAAACCGTATATTATACCGTATGACGAATGAATACCGAGGAGACTCGATCGCCGCCGACGCTCCACGTTAGATATTATACCAAAGTAGAGATCCCTCTTGTGCGCGATTGATGAAACTGAAATAGCTATATATAATAATAAACTAAACGTAACAATACATACGATTCTAAACCTTAACTTTAATACTGTGCAAAGTCTGTTTGAAGGTTTCCCTTAGTATTTTAGCGTTATTGTTTTATAAAATTTTAACGTTTGACGTTAATCTAAGGGCACTAATGATCGCAATGCACTTGTATGTTGTCGCACTTGTTAAAATTTGGCCTTGAACGAAAGAACAAAAAAAATTAGGAGCGAATATTTAAGTATTTTTGAAAAATTCTATTTTTAGTTTAATGTAGGTAAAACAATCGGGTGAACGCAATTATTTGTTGTTCCTCCTTAGTTTTCAAAATTTTGAAATTAATAATTTGATTTTGTTTTAGAGTTTATTTGTGTTATTTCGGTATAAAACAATTTAATTTTGTGACTCACATTATAAGTGTAAATAATAATTTGTGTATTAGTACCTATTTTCTATTACAGTGCAGTAAGTACATTTTAAACCTAAATAATTTTCGTTTATAATAATTTGGTAACTGAGAAAATAATTTGTGACTCACTTATAACGGTGTATTTATAAATCTGTAGTGTATAGTATTTGTGTATGTAAAATGTCTCGTATAAATTCGATTGTAAATAGTGTAAAATATACAGATCAGAAATAGACTGATAAATCATCATCATCATCATTACAGCCCTTCACAAGTCCACTGCTGAACATAGGCCTCCCCCAAGGAATGCGACAAAGCACGGTCCTGAGTCACCTGCATCCATCGACTTCCTGCATATCTTACCAGGTCGTCACTCCATCTAGTGGGGGGGACGCTCTACACTTCGTCCACCGGTACGAGGCCGCCATTCGAGAACCTTTCTTCCCCAACGGTTGTCGGTTCCTCGAGCTATATGGCCGGCTCATTGCCACTTCAGCTTACTAATCCGTTGGGCTATGTCGGTCACTCTGGTTCTACTTCGGATATCCTCATTTCTAAGTTTATCGCGCAGAGAAACTCCGAGCATAGCCCTCTCCATAGCTCGCTGAGCGACCTTGAGCTTCCTCATCCGGCCAGCAGTGAAGGACCACGTATCAGTACCATAGGTCATCACTGGCAACACGCACTGGTTGTACATTTTTGTTTTCAAGTTTTGAGGTATACCTGACGAGAAGATGTGCTGTAATTTCCCGAACGTTGCCCAACCAAGTTGAACCCGTCGATTGACCTCTCGGTCGAAGTTGGACTTACCTAGTCGGACTCTTTATCCCAGGTAAACATACTCGTCAACAACTTCGAGCTTAGTGCTCCCAACAACTACCGGCATAGGTGTGACATGGACATTAAACATGATCTTTGTTTTGTCCATGTTCATCTTAAGACCTATCCGTTGGGAAACACTATTGAGGTCATTGAGCATAGTGCTTAGGTCCTCCAGCGATTCTGCCATAAGGACTATATCGTTGGCAAATCGAAGGTGAGTGATGTACTCGCCATTGATGTTGATACCGTATCCTTTCCAGTCCAGAAGCTTGAAAACGTCTTCCAATGCAGAATTTCGGGGATATCACGTCACCCTGCCTTACACCTCTCTGCAATTGGATAGGTTTCGTACTCTGGTTCTGTACTCGGATAGCAATCGTAGCCCTACTGTAAAAGCACTTCAGCACTTCGATATACCGATAGTCAACTTGGCATCGCTGAAGGGACTGCAGCACCGCCCAAATTTCGACGGAATCAAAGGCTTTCTCATAGTCCACATACGCCAGACATAGTGGCAAATTGTACTCCTCGGACTTCTATACAATTTGCCGAAGGGTATGTATGTGGTCCATGGTGCTAAAGACTTTTCGGAAACCGGCTTGTTCGGGAGGCTGGAAGTCGTCAAGTCTGCGCGCGAAACGATTCGTAATGACTCTCGAAAACAGCACGTAGACGCGGCTCAGAAGGGAAATCAATCTGTAGTTCTTCAAGAGAGCGTTGTCACCTTTCTTGAAGAATATGATGACCGCACTTCTGCTCCACGCCTCGACGAATTACAGACGGAATTAAAGAGCTTCTGAAGGACTTCAAGTACCGGTTTTCCACCCGCTTTCAGAAGCTCCGCTGTAATTTCATCCTCGCCTGGGGCCTTGCCGTTTTTAAGGTGCTGGAGAGCCATTGTAATCTCGCTCAGACTGACGTCCGGGATATCATGGGACTGATAAATACGCCTGCATTATTATAGTGAGACGGTATATATATGCATATATATAAACATATATAAACATAGATATACATATATACATATATATATATATATATATATATATATATATATATATATATATATATATATATATATATATGTGTATATAAATATATATACAAATATATATTATTAATATATATATATTATTAATATTATTAAAACACGGTTTTTTGAAATAAATATTGCACCCAGTCTTAAACCTCGTAAAAGTCTGAAGGACAGTCCATTAATGGTGAATATTAGTTTAGTTATATATTGTATAAAATACATAGTGCATTCCTTGTTTTCAAAAGAAAATAGTACCTAGTAACTCTAAGTATCATATAGGGATACAAAAATCGTCGCGAAACCGGTATCGAAATAACTGCATATACGGCATAATAGTATATAGTTTCGATATGATATTGAGAAATTACGATATCACCCACTCCTAACTAGTAGATTGGTATAGTAATTGTCGTATACAGTGTGACACTTATCTACTATATTTTTTTATAACTGGCTTCATAAATAATATACTATAGTATTGTGGCGGGTGGAAGGAAAAGGGGAGATGTCCCGCCGGGCAAGGTGTTCTGCCCGGGGAGCGGCCAACGCTAGATTGGTAGTTCGGAGCTATTCTATATATGCTGATTTAATTTCGGAACTTTGATAGCGCGATTTAGGCTTCGATGTGTTTCGCTTGTGGCGCGACGACAGCGCCGCCACATCACCCCCCTGCTCAGACCGGAGGTCGATAGTGCAGTCTAGATGTCGACGAATTTGCAAGTGCCAGGAGGAATTGCTTTGTAAGTCTGCGGTGAGTCGAGAAGAAGGCAAGTAATCTGCGAGAGTGCCGTGAAGCAGAGGCGAGCAGTAAGGCTCAGAGCCGTGTCGAACACTGTAGCGCAGAGAGTAGCTTGAAGGAACAAGAAGCATTATTATTCCAGTGCTGCGATGAACCTTTGTAAAGCTAGATGGCTTGCAGAATGTGAAGACTGCAGACAATATCTGCTCGAGAGCGAATGTATGGGGTACTTGAGGATGGTGAAGGTTTTTTGAAGGTGTAGTTTCCGAAGGATGTTGGTTGCGTGTTCATATCACGTCGGGGTCACCACTGTGGCGGGTGGAAGGAAAAGGGGAGATCTCCCGCCGGGCAAGGTGTTCTGCCCGGGGAGCGGCCAGCGCTACGATTGGTATTTCGGAGCTATTCTATATATGCTGATTTAATTTCGGAACTTTGATAGCGCGATTTAGGCTTCGATGTGTTTCGCTTGTGGCGCGACGACAGCGCCGTCACAGTATGTTTCTAGAGCAGGTGGAAAAACGTACATTGACCTTCGAAGATGTCAGTGGGGTAGCCAACCTTTTTCTTAGGTTTCATTTTTTTATCCTCGCATCATTACATACATCATCAGAGTGAAAGATAAGAGTGCCGAGTGCGAAGTTCTTCGCAGGTTCTGTGTCTATTATTTTATTATGAAGAAAGAAGATAATGCTGTACTTATATGAATTAGAAAGCAAATTAAGATTAATTTCAATTTATTATTTATAAACCTATTTATAGTACTGATTATTACGTTAACAGTAGGTAAGTTGTGTAATAAGTAGGTAGGCAGGTAGTTGTACAAAACATAACCATTTCTTTGCAATTGGGTAAAATGGTGAACTTTTAACACATTCTTTAGCAGTCAACATTGAAGCATGCATAAAACTTCTCATAATAGATTGTCAGAGACACTAGACAGACTATGCTTTTGTAACTATTTCAGAACAATTTTCTGATGATAAAGACGTGTAAAGAAGTTCGCCACATTGA